TAAGTTTCCCTCCAAGGTAAAAATAATGCCTTGCAATGAATAACTGACAACCAGTTGAAACCCCCCAAAATGAAGTCATAATGTGGCCATAAAGGCTCATATTGTGAAATACAACTATAGTGTATGTGTAGGTATATAGGAGTGTATGTATGTACGATTGAGAGAGACAGGGAGAGAGGTACTGGCACAGGATAGAGTGGGAAACACTTATTATAAGCTTGTCATCATGTTCCCAAATTTTAGGCGATTTTCTCTTTCCCAGAACACAAGAGGTGTTTGTCAGAATTGATAGTAGGTGGATATTTCCAGGTTAAGTATGAGCTGAAGAGCTTTGTCACTGTATATGAAGTGACTGGAGAGATGGCAGCTGTAGCCTTCGAGATACAAAATCCTCACCAGCACCAAAGGCATCCTGGGGCTGAAAATATTCCCCCATTTTTGGTGGGAACTTGGTCATTACCTTCAAAGACAGTTGCAGTGGATTTTTCCAAAGACTGAACCAAGAAGGATGCTGAAACTCTTGGACACATGGGCAGATTCTTCCCCACTACTCAGCCAAGGGACTCATCCTCCTGCTAAGACTTTTTGAAACTTATTTTCATTTAACTCAAGTCTTGTGAAAAAAACAAAAACAAAAACATGGCTCTGCCAGAAAACTCTTTCCTAAGAATTTACACACCACCTATGGAGTCTTTAAAAGGCTTCAAATGGAATGGTTACCAGCCAGGCTTTCCTAACACATCCAGAATGAGGCCTGTAAAAGAGCAAAAAGAACTGTAGGTACCTTTTAAGCTTTCTAATGGGTATAGCGTGAACGGTTGGCCCTTGGCAAGTCATCTTTAAGAATAAGTCAAGCCTGTAAGTGGGAGGGGACAATGCCATTAGAGGTGCACTCTGAGAAGTTATGCTTCTTGACCTGGTGCTGAAACCTACCCCACCTTCTTACTGAGGCTTTCCTACCTGGTTTGATCTCTCTCTTTCCTAAGATGCCACCACTGGGAACCACGGGCACATGGCCCCTCACTTCTATTTCTTTAAGTTGATGGGGTTCACACAGGATAACCCTATGGGCTCAGGAGAATGGTTCCAGAAAACACAGGGGGAAAGAGCCTACCTTCCTCCGCTGGGACATGTGCAAACATGTGCTCGCAAGACACTGACTTCATGCAGAGCAAAGCAGTCCAAAAAAAGACAGGGGTCAGCAAAAAAAGCTGGAGGCTTCATGCGTGCTGTTCCGCACCTCCACAAGAGGGCTGGCAGCAAAAGCTGTTCTCACCAAGCACACTTGACCTATCAACTTCCAAATGTGGAAGTCACAGACCCAACTCTGAGGGTATTTCAAGGTTTAAGGCCTCTTAGGTGCTCCCAGGTGGAAGCACCATACTTTGCTTGCACAATAAGAAGCCTGTTTTGTGACCAGTGACCCATCCCCACCCTCATCCAAGCATGTCCTGCTGACAGCCCTCTCCAATAACTCCTCCTTTCCAGTGACTCCCACCACATTTCTTGCAACTTCTCCTTCACAGAGAGCCTCCTCAGCCCTTTGCAGGCTTCTGCCTGCGGTCAGGATGTGGCTTTTCTTTTTTTCCCTGAGTGACCTGGATGGTGCCCTGTGGCCCCTTTCCTCCCAATGGCATCTGTCTCTGCGTTCTGATCCTTGCTTCCAAGTTCTGAGACTGCCAACCCTGCACATTCTCATAGATGATTGATTGGCCTCTTTAGGAACATATATATCTGCAGGGATCATGTCATTTGCAAGGCATATGGCAGGAGGGAGCTTTAGTTAAGGGATGGTGAACTGAGCTGCATCAGATTTTGCTCTGGTAAGGACACCAGATGGATGCCTTTGTGATGAAGTGGGGCTCCTCCAGCCTTTTCTTTTATGCAGGTCTCCAACAGGTGTTTCCTCTAAGGCATATCTGTTTTCCATACATCAGAATGAAGAAAGATGTGGTCTGTGACAGCTTGTGTACATAGATCATGCTTTTATTATGATAGAAAAGTGTACAGTGATTCATTTGCTATTGAGTCAAGTTAAAATATGCTTGGGGGAAGATCATCATCTTCTATTTGTGAAAAGGGCATTTAATTTCCAGACCAAACACTCTTTGTCCATTATGGAGGCAGGGGGCAGGGGGTCGGGGGGAGGAATGAGAGGGAGAAGGAGAGGAAGAGGGAAAAAGCTGAAGAAAGTCACCAGAAGAGCAGTACTAGCAGTTGTTGGCAACTTGGTGCTGAGGGCAGAGGGCAGGAAAGCAACCTCCGGAAGGTACTTTGGATACGTTATAGTACCTGCTGAGGGGTGGCATGCAGGAAGCTACACGTGCAGAGGAAAGGAGGTCCTATGAATGAGGAACATAGTTCTCCAGATCTCAAACCTGATAAGAATTAAAACCAAGACTCCAGTCTCAGGTGTGTCCCCTGATGAACCCCTTGAACAAGCTTGGCATAAGGCCAACACATGGCCCTGTCTAGTACCATTCAGAGAGCGTGAATGGCTCTTAGAAATCTGGGTTGGGGCTCATGACTTATGGATAATTAAGCTACCAAAGGCATGTTAATTTGAATGAATGAAGGAATCCATTTCAGTGCATGTGACCTTGAGGCTGACATTACAACATCTTCTGGCTAGGTAAGTGATTGGAATCCACTAAGTTTACAGGTCTTAAATGTAGAGGAACGTAAAGGATTGCACCTTGGCCTTGACTAGTTTCATTAGCAATTAGCTCTCTAGTTTTCCAGACCCTTCTCCAGTGCACCATACTCCCACCCCAGTTCTCTGCTGGGTCCTCTCCATCCCATTACTCTAGGTGTAACACTTCAAGCTAAGTTTAAGTAAGTTCCTTTGAAAAATTATGACTTAAGAGAGCAGTTTACAAACTGATCTTATTAAAGAGAGGAAGTTGCTTGATACTATGGTGGAATCTTTAGCCCAGGTGTTAAATAACAAGCTATATTAATGCACAGGGAGACCCCCTAACCTTACAGCACTGAGAACAATAGGTTGTATTTCTCCCAGGATGTAGAGTAAACTCTCCCAGGAGAGTGCTGTCATAGCTACTGCTAACCAGGGCTTAACCTATGGTGTGACCTGGGATAGTATTCCCAAAAGATGTTTCAAAGGATAGTAACAGGTCAATAAGTAAGCAAATAAGTAAATAGTAAAAATTTGCATGGTCAAATAAGTGTATGTAACACTGGATTATACAAACTTTCAGAGGATTTATTTTGCAAGATTTGGAGAACCTTTCATATGCTGAAGTACAGTATGAATCTCAAAGACAGGATATTTTTTTCAAACTTTGACTACAGAAAATATTTCTTAGAACCTCTCTCGTTACTAATATTCCATGGAACCTGTTCTTCCAAAAAAGTTTTTGTTAAGATAGGGTGAGCTTTTGCTGTGGTAATAACCAAGAAATTATAGTAGTTTACCATAACAAAGGTGTATTTCTTGCTCAAGTTACATGTCCAACACAAGTCAAGGAGGTGAGGGCACTGTGCTCCACACGGGCACTCGTGTACTCAGGGTGGTCATCTCTGCAGCAGGTTAGGCGAGAGCCTGAAGAATCATATGGGAGTTTTGCATGACGTCAGCTGCCACTTCTCATATTTCATGGCCATAACTAGTCATGTGGCCCCACCTAACTGCCCAATTGCTAAGAAGGAAAGGATAATTTGATGTCATGAGCATCAATACTCATCCTCAGCATTATATTCAAACTCCTGGTTTATAATCTGCTGGCTGTTTAACTTCTCTCCATAAAATTAAGAGTGGTCTTTACTGTCCTTGGCAGAGACAGAAATGCTCACCAGATATTTCAACTATTTCTTGTGTTCCTCAGCCTCCTTAAGGTTAACAGGAGCCATGTGACTTGTTCTGGCCAATGAAATGTAAGCAGAAATGATGTGTGTCATTTTGAGCCAAGAAAGTTAAAAGCCCGGCTTGGTTCTCCAGTCTTCTTGTCTTCCCTTGCCTTAGTGACTGAGGGTGATGCATGTGGCTGCGTGGTCCTAAAAGGTGGTCCTAAGAGGTCCTAAGAGGTGGAGTCTCTGTCCCCCTCAGGTTCTGAGTGGTTGTGTGGAGTGGAGACATCTGTTCACTCAAGTATAATAGATAATATCGGTGAGAAAGAACCTGTGCTGTGTTAAGCCCTTGGGACTTTGAGGTTGTTTCTGCAGCCTAAGCTAAATTCTTCTGACTTAAATAGGTCCTTTCAACCCTAAACTTTCTGTGATTCCAGAAAGGTTTCCCCTCTTCTTTAACAAGCAAATATGCATTTCTCAGGATGTGGTGGGCTTTTCAAAAGATCTCCTAACCCTTTCAGTGATTTACTGTATTACGTGATAGTCATTGTGCCTAACTGCATTGTGGGGAGATCATGTGGAAGGTTTTGCCAAGACTCAGACTAAGATTAGAGCAAAGTTTCGTCAAATGCAGGCCAGTGACAGAAGCTGTAACGAATGTAAAATGCATTAAATAAACAAGGATGTTTCAACAGGAACCCACAAGGAAAGATGTGGAAGGAGAGGGGAGGTGAACAGGCTAAGGAGGTGCCACTGATGACTCAATCTCACAGCCTTTTAAATTCTGTATGCAGATACCCAAAATGCGTCTCATGAATTCTTCCAAACAAGAGTAGCAACGTGATAGTAGCAAAGTTAAAAGCAGAAATAACTACCTTAAGGGCATGTCTAATCTAAAGTCAGAGAGAGACTGATGTGTGTAAAACATACACCCACATGTACATGTGCACACATACAATCCTTCTGGCTTTGCCTCAGAGAGCACGTTGTCAGCTGTAATGTAGTCTGGACTTTTCAGGTCTTGGTATCCTTCAGACATGCCTCTGTATTTTGAGGTCTCACAGACCCAGTGTCATTCTCCAAAGTGTGATTCTTCACTTTGGGCTCAAGGCCCTGATGCGTTTGACATCTTGGCTTTGTCGCGCCAGAGCCCCAAATGTTCTCAGGCTAACTCTCCATTCTCCCTGTTTTAGGACTTTTCTGTATGAAACGGAAGACGATTCTGACCAGCTTGACAGCAGTGGCGTGTTTCACTGGTGCAAAGCAACCCCTTTGGATAGGGTGATTCTGGTAGGTGATCTTGCCCCAAATCGCAAATAAAGCTTCTCTTAGGAGACGCCAATGGTATGAAAGGTAACAGATGTGGCATTTGAGAAAGATATGTAGTTAATATGGTGGATCGGAAACAGTTGGATGAGATTCTTCAACTACTTCCCTCCTTGACCAGTTTAGCTGAGTCAGTTATTCAGAATAATGTTCTCCTGAAACTATGCTGTTTTCTTATTAAATCTAATTAATCTAAATGCACCAGGGAAATGTACCATTTATAAGAACTCTGAAGTCTTTTTTTTCCAAGTAAAGCAACATTTTCCTAATTATTGGCTTTAAAGTTTAGATTTTCTATAGTAGTTTTTCTTAAAACTGACCATCTTTATGCCTAACACATTAGCAAGAATGTTTCACCTAGATGCTTGCCCCACCTCCTACATGGGCAAATCCTTACAGATGTTAGATATTAGATATAGATATTAGAATCCTGGCCCTGTCTCTGTTCTCAAAAGGAGACACACTAACTCAGCTCCCTAAACTGCCAGCAGCTAAGATGTAAAAATCCAGGTTCTGACATCTTTCTGGATTCCTGTCTATTCTCATTTTCTCCAGAGCTGGAAACTCAAGTATAACCTCAGTGGTTTACCTTGCAAGAAGTAGTTGGTAAATTTACCTAATAAAAGTGATTGCTCACATATTTATGAACCCTATGTAATTTGTTCAACTATGGGTAATTGATAATTTTTTTCCTTGCTTTCCAAAAGTAGATTAGTTGACTTTTTTTCTATTAAATACACATACTCCCAATCCTTGTGGCTCAGTGCCATTGTCCTGACATAATATGTTCCAATTTTTGTAAAAGCATGATCAATTATTTGATCAGAAGCTCAGAATTGTCAGAGCTGTCACATCAAGTAGAAGACTGTTTGGGTTGCTAAAACTCACCATCTTAGCAAATATGTCTTATTCTAAGCTAAGCAAAATAAACACCCATTGAAAAGGAAGCTAAACATGTTTTCAGTGGGAGGGAAATCTTTAGAAAGGTTGGGAAGTTAGTTGCAGATAGAAGCTTCCAAGAGACCAAGAAATGGAAATAGCAGACATTATACCCTATTTATTAAGTGTGCAGACAGGTTGCTATGATAGATACCTCCCTTATGAGCCTTGATGTGGAATATAGTTCAGAACACCATTTGAATCTTTTGATAAGTTTAGAATTGCCTCTGATTTAAGAAATTCTAAAGGTTTTGAAATGTGTGACCCTAGAAGAGAAATGTCCAGATTGCAGAATTCAGGAGGCTTTGAACTGGGTTTAGTTGACAGAAGGGTCAAGAGGAAGTGGTCAATTTAAGTTACTTTGAACAAATAGTGCATTCTCCCCTTTCCCCAAAAGCCACTACTCTTCTCAGTTGGAGACAGTTTTGTGCCACAGTTTCTTGGAGAAATTGCCTCTTAAGCTGTGCCCATTTCTGCCATGTATCTTGTTTCTAGTTGTTTAGTTCTACAGAAAAGAGCAAATGTTGGACTTCAGGCATGTTACATTAAATACCGATAGAAGCGTCATTGTCCAAGCTAAAACTAATCAGATTAGTTAGAGACAATTATTTAATAGATTTGGTTAAGATTCATAGCACTCTCCAGGAAGGCTCTCCAGACAAGTTGCTTTGATTCTCCTCACAGGGCAATTCCCTTTGGAAAGAGAGTATTTCCTAGTATATGCTAATTGGACAAACTCTAATTGTTGAGATGTTAAGTGTTACTTGTTTATCCTGTTGCATTTCATCAACCCCTATTCCATAGAAACTTGTCATTTCACTCAGCTAAGGATTGGAATAAAGGAGAATGATATATATCCATTCTGAGTGTTCCTGTGCTCAGGAATAGAACATACTCATACATGAAGTGATTTTAAATGCATTTAATTTGTTCTCTGCCAGCTTCCAAGAGTCCTTCTCTGAAAGTGCTTTTAAATGCATTTAATTTGTTCTCTGCCAGCTTCCAAGAGTCCTTCTCTGAAAGTCTAGGAATTCAGTAAGATTCAGATTGGATTAATAGTTAGAGAACGGCACTTACAAGCACTATACTTTCAATATGTTACCTAATTTCCACAACAGAATTAGCATGTTTATTTTTAAACCATTTAAACTTAAAGAAATTGAGAGTCTGCAAGGTTAACTAATTGTTCACAGTTATAATGCCAAAGCCAGAATACAAAATCCGGTCTTCAACTCCAGGCCATCTGCTCGTTCCTCTCCATCCCAGGGCCATGAGAGAAGACATGGACTCATTCCCTGCAAGAAATCAGACAAAGGCCAAAAATAAGTTTCCTACAGGAATGTCATTCCTGTTTCAAAAATTACATTTATGATTTTTAGACGTCTCTGTGAATGTGGGGGAAACTTCACCAAAATATTGTTGAATATATTATTTTGTTCTAAACTGAGAGATATAGAAGAGATGTTAAACAATTTATGATGCTGATAATAGTAATGAGACAATGCTTATAAAACGTAATACTTTTGGATCAAATGGAATTCTTATGACCTTCTCATTTCTTTTTGTGCACATAGTGAGTTTCCTCCACTCTGGGAAGAGTCCATTAAAACACATGAAATTGCCAATATTCAACTACTTTTGACCCATAAGAAGGCAATTTCATTTATTTCCAAATGATATATATTTTCTTACATAGGAAAACCCACTGAAAACTGCAACATGTTGTAAGACTTGATGTAATTTTCAGGGCTCACAAAAAGATGTAAGTTCAACAATGGAATTTGGATTATTTTAGTTTTTCTTTGGACCTTGCTACAGTGCACAAAGTCTAAGAACAGAATGAAAATAAGAGATTTTCACCATTTGGTTCATTGATTTCACACCTTGGAATGAGGCTGATCTCAGTTTTAATTGATGCACTACAGGCTAATTCCAGTCTAATAGAGAACTAAAGAAAGTGAGATAAGGAAGTCCACAGAAAGATAAAAACTATAATTATCCCACTGTGGATAAGTTCCATTTCTTATGAGCAGTTTGCAAATGTCCTGTTGTCCTTACGGAAGTTCTCCTATGGATGCACCTAGAAGACGTGGGATGAGGGGAAGGAGCCCTCTTTAAAGGTCCCTCAACTTAGTTCTCAGACTGACCTTAACTCTGGCATGCTTATGCTTAGAAACGAACTGATAAGACAAAATACAAATTTCAAAACCACGTGGTAGCATGTGTCTTCGGAGATGCCCACTCAATGCTGATGGAGCTTCAGAATTTTGTGATGCCCTTGAGAACTAGCAACTATACCCGGCAGGAGCTGAAGGACATTGTGTTCATTGGCTCTCTAGATTACCTGCAGAGAGAATGGCTCTTTTTCCAGAATTTTCCCCAGATATACATTCTGCCTGTAAGTATCACTAAGGGATAGTGAATATTTATAATGATAATAACACCAACAATAGTTGTAGCACTAATAAGAATAGTAATAATAATAATAGCTTGCAGTTATGTCAGAAATCAGCATCTGGCACCAGGAACTGTTCTAAGCATTTTACATATATTAACTCATTTAACCTTAAAAATAACTCTATGGGGTAAATTTTTAACATGTTGAACGTTAGGCATGGAAAGAGTAAGTAACCTGTCCAAGTTCACACAGCAGGTAAGTAGCAGAACTGGGATTTAAATCCAGACATCGTGACTCTTGATTTTACACCCAGGAGTCACTATGTCCTATGTTTTATGTTTATAACCATGTTTTATGGTCTTTATATAAATCAGAGTTTCTCTGCATTTCTGAATCTGATTCTGACTTAATGGCTAAACCTAAGCTGATACTAGCCAGCCTTTGTGCTGTAATTTTCTCATCTTTTCCGGAGACACATCTTTTATGGAGCACATAATGCCACACAATCCTTGACAGATGTAAGAAAAGGAAGAATTAGATTTACATTTCTGAGAAACCGATCCATTACGCATATGTGGCATTGTGGTGGTAACTGTATTTGCTCTGAACCTTCATAGGTCTGCATCCCTTTTATGCCACCATTTCCCTGGATTAACAAAGAAAAACAACAACATTATGTGCAGCATGAAATGCACCAATGGTTTTGATTTTTCATGAAATAATGCTGGCAATATGTAAGGGATATTTTTCACAAGTCAAAAATGGTTCCCACAAGGAGCAAATGTCATTTGTTTTTTTTTTTTTAAAGCCACCACAAAGTTCCTCACACTTCTGCCTTACTTAGTCCAAAGGAAGAAAGAAAAGAAAATGATCAGAGGTCTTCAGATCCACCTCGTGTTAGGAATCACCGTCATTTCAGGCCTTAGCTACCTGAAAGCAGACCAGACATGCCCGTTTCTTCACCAGGGGAAAGAAGTAGCCACCGCTTTGCCAGCTGATCGAAAGAGTACCATCAGGGTGAGCCACGAGCAAAAGGGCGAGGAGGCGGAGTTTGCCGTTAGATCGGTCACTCCTCCTTCCCCGAACCCTTCGCCACTGTTCCCTCATATGCTCTCTTCTCCCACTCGAATCATCTAAACGGGTTCAGCACCGCCCCCTCTCATCTCATCCTTACTTGCTCTCAGGAAAGAGTCTGTGAAATGTAGTCACACTAAGATGTTAACGCTTGGTAAGACTTAATTGTGTCAGATACCAGGTAATGAAGACTTAAAACCAAGTCAGTGGAGGCTGATAACACTTTGGCTCAAAAACGACAGCAGCCACAAAGTGCCACCACCAGGAGTCGTGATATAAAATCCTTCTGCCTGACAAGTCCCTCCTCTGCCCGGTTTTCTCTCACTAGGGGTCTGCACTCTTTCCTGAGGACCTCCATGCAGTCAGCCTAGAGGAGTGTTCCATGTGTGCTGTCTTATCCTCGCCGTCCACGTCATCGAGCAGCCAGACTTTGGTGGACACAGAGGCCATCATGGCCACCCTCAACGTGGGATCACTGCGGATCGGCTGCTCTGCCCAGACAGAGCCAGATAAGACCACCCCCCTGACAGAAAGGGGCCGTGGGGAATGGCGTGAGGAGAGAGAGTTAACTCCTGTCTGAAGAACTTCAGTCACGGGGAGTAGGAGAGGTTGGGCCGGGGCCAGTTGGCCTCTAAGGTCCCTTCCAACTCTCAAGAATTTCATAATAGAAGTTTCAGACAGCTCAGTCCTGGGTAATCCTAAGTCAAATGAAAAATGATACTTGTTTTCTAAATGGAATGCCTGTAACACTGTTTTCCTATTTTAAGGAAAATCATGGAATTGTGAGTGCTGTTACTGTTGTTATTAATCAAAAATCAGTGAACATAGTAATTGGCATATTATTATACTTAATAATGGGTATTATTGACCATAAGTCTCGTTGGATCATGTAGATGTTGAAGTCACTATTCTTGGTTTCATGGTTGAGAGAATGAAGTATAATCTCCTTTACTCTTTAAGATGCTGTCAATACATGTGTTTTAGGAGATTGTCTCTAAGGTCCCTTCCAACTTCTATAGATGAAAAGTGTCATATTTCAGCTTCAGATTGGAAAGAGGTCATGCAAAGTGGGAATCTCTTCAGGGTGGGAATCATGTATTTCCCTCCTCTGAATTCCTCCCACTGCCTGGTTCAATTATGTCACTTGGATGCTTAAAACAATCCTGTTGAATTGAAGGAAATGAGCCAGTGAGCTGGACTCTTGAGGAGTTACCACACATTTCACGGTACCCAGACTGTGCTTGAGGTAAGTTCCCACTCCACAATTGTGGTTTACCTTCCCCTCAAATGGGAAAAGGCTTGTATATTAGTCTGTTCCTAAAAATTGACTATAGCCATTCAAGCTAACATGAAAGTACTATTCCTGAAGAGCTGTCTGTATCTAAAACAGATTTTCCATTCAATAAATGAAAGTAGCCCTGATTGGAGTCCCCTGGATCCAGCCATTTCCCTTTGGAAATGGCACTTTGATATTCATTAGGTGCTTGCTGTTAGTTCTGCTTTACAAATATCCTGAAACCAAACCCAAAGTGCTATGAAAATCCAGACCTAGGAGGTGTGAGCTGTATTTCTGCTGAACAAATCTGAAGATCCATCAAAATGCTGTTGTGTTCTGCACATAAATCCTTAGTTCACTGAGTAGGGTCACGCAGATTTACAGGAAGTTTGCGTGTGTGTGTGGGGAGTGTACGGTGTGTGTGAGTGCATGTGTGTGTGTGGGCGTGTGCATCCTGCATGCAACTTATCTGTAACTGGACAGGAAAGAAGTATTCACTTGAAGGGCAGGCACATCAATATGCAAATGAAATGCCCACTCAGGATAAATTTGGGTTAAACAGATGTCAGCCATCCAGTTAATCATCTGAGTGATTGGTCCTTCCTATTAATATTTTTTTAAAATTTCACATCCTATATAGGCTAGAAAGATAGAAACCTATGATTTTATTTCTGGCTTCCTTTATATTCATCCTTTCCCTTATATATTCATTAATTCAACAAAAATATGTTGATTTTATATGATGTGTCATGAACTCTGTTGCCCTTAAAGGAGCAACTGATAGCTTCAGAGGAGGAGGTAGAGGAGAGAGGAAAAAATGAATGAAAAAGAAGAAGAGAAAATGAGGGATATCAGAGTATTTGAATCATCATGAAGTATGAGTAGGTGCTTTCCCCAAAGACAAAAGGGAGCATTTAGAGGAAAATGTATTGTGAGGACCTTGCACAGTTCCTTATATGGAAGCCCTCATACCCATTTGTGTGATGGGAAAATACAAGTCCCGACAGACTCTACTGCACCCCCTAACGGAAGACATCAAGTCTGTTTATCTGGTGCTATAGCATCAGTAAAGTCACATTCTGAGCACTTAAGAATAGCAAAGAACCGTTACTTAAAACTTCACCAGATACCTTAGTACCATAGGAATCTATCTGCCTGGAGGTGCTGTCTAGAAATTTCCAATCCTCAGAGAAGCCCATTTGGTTCTCTTAACATTCTTCCCATTTCTTATTAATACTCCTCTTGTGCCATACCCAAGAGGTGGAAATGGGAATGCCCGCCTCCAGGAACGGATGGCATAGGATTGTGAAATTCATCTGAAGGTAGAAGACACCTTCCGTGCTGAGCATTGATGCAGGATTAGCTGACAGGCAGTCCTGTTCCCCTTCCTCCGGGACAGTGGTTCTCAGCCAGACACAGTGTTGCCCCCAGATTCTGACCATGTCTGGAAACAGATTTGACAGTCACAACTTGTGGGGTGGGGGGGGTGCTGTTAGCATTAATGGACAGAGGTCAGAGGTGCTGCCAAACACCCTATATCTCATGGGATAGCCCCCAGTTTTTGGCCCCAAATGTCAAGAGCACTGAAATCAGAAACTTTTCCCTATTAGCTTATGTGCTGAGCCTTTTGTCAGATCACTGGGCTTCCCCACATCTGCACGCTCATAATGAAATCATGCATGAAGCCCACTAGGACTGCCAGGGCTATTCCCAGGCTAATTCAGTGATTCACCAAGGGATGGGGGGCAGAGGGGCAGCAGAATGAGGGCTCTCCAAAGGGTCAGTAGGAGTGCCAGGCTCCCCGGACATCCCCGCGGAAAACTTCAGGTTTCTCAGCGATGCTCTGATTACTGCCTGTCACATCACAAGGAGAACAGGCTGGCAAACCTAGGTACTGAACTAAATAATCTGTGGCATAATCTAAACATACAGCGGTAATTAAGTCTGACAACTTAATATGCTACTGAAATTTAAATGCACAGTAGTAATCCACAATTAAGCAATCTTTTGTAATAGCACCCTGCCAGCCTGGAAGATCTCAGGTATCACACTGTGTACGATTAGGCAGCAAAAATATTGACATTAGTAAAATGTACCCAGGCCATGATCTGACACATATTCAAATTAACCATCGCTCTGCAGGCAAGGATGGGGTTCAGGCAGGAATTCAGTTGCTGGTGACAGAAGTAGATATTTAAGCAGTCATGTCAGCCGATGTAGACCGTTTCTACATGCAGTAAGAACGTGTAACACTGAAAGTCAGGATAGTCTAAGCCCTTTATTAGAGGGAACTGGAATCAGAAAGTGGGGTTCAGAGGGGGATCTTCCTTTCGTGGAAAACTGATCTCAATGTTACTGAAAATGCCGGCAAAACCTATGTACACAGTAGCCCTGCAAAGAGCATGGGCTTTGAGGCTGGTGCTGATCAGGGTATGAAAACCGATTCACCATTTTTAAGCCAAATATTCTTGGACAAGGTATGTAAGCCCTGAGTCGGTTTCCTCATCTTCAAAGGTGATCAACTATATTTAATTGACAGATCTGACATGACCGTGGTGTAATTCGTATCTCCTACAGTTCCTCCTGCTCACAGCAACCACAGGGATTCTGTACAGATATTTATCAGATAATGTCAGATAATCTTAAAACTGTATAGTGGTGACCCACCACAACAATAGGAAAATCACATAGGGTCCTGCAGGCCTGTGGGGAGCTTGCGTTTTCTCCTGCTTCATCCTGTTTATACCGGCTCCTTCCTGTGGTTGGGTCCCTTATCCCTTCCCTGAACAGCCTTTTCTCATCCCTCAGGACTCCATTCCAACGTGAGAGAAACCTGTCTTAAAACCCTATCCAAACGCGCCACCCCATATCAACCACTAGCCTCTAAAAGTTAGGATTTTATCTGGCGCTTTTTCTGGAAGCATTTTGTGTTGGTGACATGAGGTAAGTAGCTGGGGCAAGGGCTCCTCACAGTCCTAGCATGGAGAAAACTCTCTTTAAATATTTGTAGAAGGAAGAAAGGAAAGAGGGAAAGGTACATAAAGCAGAGAGAGCTTCTTGCACAGTTCTGAGAATAAAGTAGAATCTCAATTCCCCCAAGTCTTCCTGCATTATGGAAATCCCAGATATTTTTTTTTATGAAAAATGGTTTAAGGTATTCAGATCCCATCACAATAAGATTTACCAGTGAATTAGGATATTTGATCCTAGCCATCGATGTAAAACCTTCCTCTTAAAATAGCTGTGTGAACAGGTTGGCATTTCCTGACCTGAAGCTAACGTGTTTTCCTGGATTCCTAAGGTCACTGCCAGCCCTAACTGGAAACCACATGAATGGGGCTCTTCCTGTGCAGCTTCAGTTCTTATCCTGAATCCACCTTGAAACGTGACTCAGAATTTCAGTGGTTGTCAGAAATATATCAGCTCTACTCTGTGCTAATAAGGAGTGGTCTGTCTACTGAGTGTTCCTTGGGGAGATGGAGGAGGTGGTGACATAGTGATCCCCCTGCAAGATTGTGGAGCGTAGTGATCCCTCTGCAAAAATCTCTGCCTGGACCTTCTCATGCCCCATCCCCTTCTCTGACCAGACCCTACACCATTGTCCCTTGCCTGCTGTCACCCTGTCAGTCTCAGCTGCCTTGTCTCCATTAATTCCACCTCTCACTCCCCCTCCCCTACCACTTACCTGGCTTAGTAAGCAAAGGACCCTCCAGATATTCCACCCTCTTCCCAAACAGCAGGGAAATCTCATGACAAGCAGAAATTGTACCTTTAACAGTATTTTTTGCCCTGTTACATAACATTGTCAGAAAAGTTCAAGAAAGATAGCCAGTAAGTTTAAAGCATAACTTTTGATGACATCACTGTGTGTGTGTGTGTGTGTGTTTTACCTGGACTCGAGCTTCTCATTTCTCCCTCTCCTTTTCTTTCTTTATATTTTTTGGTTTAATTTGGAGACCACAACTCTGGGGTCATGCTCGTTTTTGAAACTTCCCATAGCCCACCGCACGGTGATGCTGCGTCTCAGGCCAGGGCTGTGTGTCGGCTCTTTTGGAGTCAAGGTTTATGAACTCCATGAACTTTCCTCCCAAGGCAGGAGGGAAATCTGTAAACTGAATGCAGTGGGTCAGAGGCCCCAAGTGACATCTCACCACAGTACGTAAGGAACTTCTGAGGCCTTCCCGGTTGGGTCAGGCCAACCAGAGATGGGAGGCAGCCGGTGTAAGGAAGAAGGAAGAAGACGTGAGCAGTGCCTTGGCCCTGAGAGCATCTCAGAGGCAGAAAGCACCAGGAGCCGAGCCCAGGTGCCGTGTCGCCAAAAGCGCCCAGGGAGCAGCACCATCCCGTTCATAGTTTCCTGAAAGGTCTACAAGCAAATGGATGTGGTTTGCGGCACTGTCTGCCTGAGCCATTACTCAGCACAGCAGCTCTGGAGAAAACTTCTCATGTTAATAAGCAACTACTATGATTTGCCTTTTTTTCTGATTCACTTGAAGTGCTATTCAGAAAATACACACCCTTATCATAAGGAGACGTAGAGGCTCACCTATTTTTTTCTGTATGTAGAAAAGGACTTAGGATTTGGGCATGAGAGTAACTTTGCCGTGAAACACCGAGCTACACGGTGTGCTCTGGTGTCCCTGTCAAGTCTTGCAAACCACTTTGTTTGCATTTATCAATTTCTTTTCTTCCTTGCTGTCTGTTTCTGCAGAGGGGCTATCATAGAACTCCAGTAAATGTCCTGGGAAATCAAAATACCGAAGAGTCCCCATCCTCACTGAACTGAGTAAGTTGTTTCAGGGACAAAAATTCAAGGAAGAAATCTTTGTGATGCATAACTAATGTCCCAAGGTTAGTTGTAGAATCCACAGTCAAAGGGCTGAGGAACCTGTGTGGGGCCCAGACAATGTTAAGTGCTTGGCTGTACTTTACCCTGGGCTTTTCCCTGACTGGGACGTCGTCCAGCTGGGCCTGTTGTATCTGGGAGTCAGGGTGCAGGAATGACGTCTGCCTTCCCCACTCTTCCAGGTACCAGTGTGGGGAGACAGCAACTGGCTGTTGTACCTACAAGCAGTCCTCCGTGGGAGGAGACGTGACCTTGCAGACTGCTGGAGAGGATCTCTCTCTATTGACTGGCCTGCCTGTCACAGGACCTTAAGCCGGTCCTCTCCATGTCCTGTACTGGCACCAGGGCTGGGACTAGGGTGACGCAAGTGAGGCACTCAGGGTGCAGACTTGACGAAAGTGCTCACTCTTGGGGACCATGACTTTTCTGTTCCCAGGTGTCTCGCTGTGTCATCTTAATCCTGGTGTGGGAGGTGTTCTTC